TTATTGACTCGGTCTGTGTGGTAAGGACCTTTGTGCGTTGGCTGACCGTACTAGCGGTTCTGATACTGATGAATCATCATAGTATCGTTGACATTGTGTTGATGAGGGACACGTGTCGTGTTCTCCCTATCGGTGTTTTTCTGGATAAGTCGTTGGCGACGTTCCTTAATGTATTTCCAGTTTGCTTTGAAACGGATGTGGTGAATCTTGTCACGATTGACGCGCGTGAACTTGCGACGAAGTCCATGTTCATCCCGGAGAGTCTTCTCGACCTCTGCGCGGGACTCACGTTCTCTGTCCATGACAACCGGTCATGGATACTGGGTAACCCACGTCTGTTTCAGAACGATGGTTACTCCGTCTGCTGTCTTGGAGCAGACCTTGGTAGTTCATTGGTCCAATGAATCCACGAAGTTCCGGAGAGCGATAGCTGGATCGCATCTATTATCTTTTTAGTAAAGGTTGGTTCCTTCTCGAGTAGTCCAATTGTCTAGATACTCAGTCTTCCTTTCGAGAAGGCCTTGTAGTGTTTGATTTTAATCCGACTTCTTGAAGTCTTTGGAAAAGTCTCATCTACTATTCAACGTGATCTTCAGATCGCGTCAGTTAGGATGAGTTGATCATCAATGTATGCGGACATTTCTAAGTCATGCATGCGTTTTTCATCTTCCTTTGGAAGATGTCGGGGCTATTACATAGGCCCATTGGCAACCTCTGGTACTCGTGCTTTCCCCTCGGGATGCAATGGTACAGTGTTGTTCGAGTGAGGTGACAGCTCGATGTTTAGTTCCTGTTCAGGTCTAGACTAGTAGCGACTTTAATCCATCTAGGTTCAAGACATGTCCTGTATTTTGGGGAAAGAAGAGAGAATAGGATAATGCTTCCTCTTGATCCGTTTTTTCGGTTCCCGAGTATCATAGATGGATCGTACAGATCTTTCTTCCTTGGGAATGATAAAAGTTGTGGCCGCCCACTCGGAACGATCCTCCTTCTTGAGTAACTCCCTGCTCGCAAGAGGCAACGTTCAACCTTCTTCTTAAGAGTGTTGTTATGTACCCGTGGATTAGAGTGAGCCCTAGTATAATAGGAATTTAGCGTCGGACGAAAGTTCTACTTCGTAGTAGTCCCATCCAGCTCTCCCGAAGTATCCTCGTACTGGGTCCGAAGCACTTGGTTGAAAAGGCATGTAGGCAGTTTTGCTCTTCCTTATTTTAACGGGTTTCGACTCTGGCACATCTGCCCTTAAGTCTAATTTGCTCGTATGTCGTATGCAAAATCCTTGGAGACTATCTGCCATTGTCGCTGACAGCTGCAGGATCAGGAAATGGAGAAGTTCTCTTCTATATCGGTGTTGCTCATCTTTCGCTGGAGAAAATGCGTGGTTCCACTCCCACTGACAATGGTAGTGAAATCAAACTTGAATTCTTAGGTCGCAGAGAGTGTCTTACCTATGATCACGTTTGCGCCCCCAAGTTCTTTGTGACGTGTAAATTCCATTTGATAATTCTATCATCGTGGAAACTCAGGAATCGCGAGTTGCCCTTACACTTCGTGCGGGGTCTCAATTCCTTTCGATAGAAGCAGTCCGTATGTTTGGACGCCCTATGATTCTTCATGATAAGCTCTTAGCATGAGTTTGAGTAATTATAAGTCCGGATGCTTCTGTATCAGTAGCAAACAGAGTGTACCGGGTTTTTCGTTTCCCTTTCGCTGACGTCTGTTAAATCTAACATAGAGATAGTTCGAGGTCTCTTGTCTTGCGACGTGTGATAGTCGATTGTGCCATGGACGAAGTTAACGATGCTGACAAGATCGTCAGTGCTAGTTGAGTCAGTCTCTAGGCAATTATCTAATTTGCCGTAGATTCTTATTGCAAACAAATCTTGTTTACTAATTTAATGAGATATCTTAATCAATTAGGTATGAGAGAATCAGGAACATGGTTCCGTTGAATCATCATTCTCTGTCCTAATCTCTCAGACGGAGATCTCTCCGTCCGAATGATTGAAGTCGAATATCGGCAAGCAGCCTTGTCGACGGCAGGCATTTCTTGTCCATCAAGTGATGGATCCAACAGAGGAGTTCGTCCTCGTTGTCGTGAGTTGTCCGACTTGCGCTGCAACAAATGTTGCATTCGCTTTCTTCTTGCGATCAGCCCTGACCGCAGCGTTGGAAACTTCTCTTCATGAGGACAGAGAGTTCCTTTCTTGTTGTAGGTCTGGCGTCGTCGGACTGTCGTTTCCAAAACCTTGTTTCTGTTGTACGCTGGCTTGTTATCGTTGTCAGACGAGGACTGAGACTTGGCCTTGAGCTTCTTCAGAAGGCACATGCAAGTCAGCACATGTTGTGACGAGTGCATGGACCTCGTGTAGTCACACACCATTTTCACTCGTTCCTTACGACAATAGATGATCGCTGTATGCGAGTATCAGTGTGTACTTGGCTCTGCGTTGTTTCTTCTTCGAAGGAGCTTCTTCTGGTATCACCGCCTTGTCAAAGTCTTCGGAGGATTCCATGCGTCGCAGAATCCAATGGTTTCCTTCCGAATAGAGCTAAGCTGAGAAATAGACTGCGAAGTCGTTTCGTATCCATCCACTGTCATTCAGTCCACTCGAGCGTGGAATCCATGACAAACAATGTCAATTCTTCGTTCGTCCAGGTTCAGAAAACTCCGTTGGTTGGTCCAAAAGGTGAGACAGGAAGTTCATACGGTGTTCATCCGACTGAGGTTGTTGAATAAGCCCGATAGACATATCAGGACTTACGCATCTTCGGGCGCATGAAGCGTTTTCTGCTTTTCAAGAGCCTGTTAGGGACAGACCGCTTCGACACAGGCATTTATGCGAACGTAATGTCAGAGTCGTCCAAAGCAGGCTAAGCTGCTCCGTCCCAGGCATACTGAAACGTGTTGGAAAGTGCTTCGTCTTCACCCCACCAGTATTCGCGTGGAGGAATCGGTTGACTGCAATCGGGTCAAGGCATTCCAACGTAGTTCACTGGTGGCCTGCCAGCTAGATTCGTAACTGCTCTTGGCAGAGCTAGAAGTCATCTCCTGAGGAGGTTATGTTTATCGTAGGCGTAGCAATGGCGAGTCCCAACGGAAGACCTTCTCCATGCGTCCAGCCACCTTGATGGTCTGACGTGGAGTCTCAGATCCATTGATGATTCTGGACCTTGAAGGTGTAATTGGCTGTTAGCATCTGCTGGAACAGTGCGAAGTTTGTATGGTGGTAGAGCGAGAATCGTCGATTCCGCATTCATCGTCGAGGTCGATGAGAGGAAGGATTGTTTTGTCGCGCAGTTAGACTCGAAGCTGGTGTAGCGTCTTTGGCAATCTTCATGGTGAGAAATAGGTTGAGGGTAGCTGAAAGCTATTGGTTTGTTAACAAAATGCACTACGCTAAAGCTAGTGTAAAGATCTTTCGAGTGTTTTGAGTTTGAGAGAATGAAAGTTATAGAGGATTAGAAAGCTATAAAAATAATCAACGAGAGAATCCACAACCAAAGGATCGTAGATCTGAACTCCCGCGGAGACTGTAGAGTGTGATAGAGTAGGTTGCGGTAGCAATCCTACTCACTCCACGATCCAAAAACGGAACGCGTGGAAGATCGTCTAGCATTTATCTAGTAGCGTGGAAGTACTCCACGCTGGCTAAATATCTAGAGCGATGTTTCATCATCAACCTAGTATGACTAGAGCGGTCAATTGAGAACCTGTCTTCTCCAATGACTATTCGCGAAGGACTACGTCATGAGTCGAACTCAGACCCTATCTAGGATCGAGTCGCGAATAAGGCTAAGAGCCGTGTATTGCACAAAGGAGCTGTCTGGCTCTTCTCCGGTGGACCTCGAGCCCTGTTCAAATAGCTCGTAAACACCCAAAAAGAGGGCTCTTTTCCCAAAACCACACCTTGCTTCAGCCAACTTGCTATAAAAGTTAGCTGAAGAACTTGGAAAGATAACTATCACGTTTCAGGGGACACAGTCAAAGCAAGTGGAAAACTTCTGGAGAGCTAACATGTAGACAGGGCAGTAATGCACATCGTAACGTCTAAGATGAACTCTCCCAATTCTCCCAACTCTCCTCCTTTTCTCCTTTTTTTCCAGGCTCCCCGCCAACTTTCCGGGCTGCGCCCGGAAAGTTGGGAATTTTTGACAGTTGAGGGCATCAGCCTCGGGCTGCTTGTTCTCATCAGGGTGGTTTTTACCTCGGCAGTCTATCTGCCTGAGGCCTCTACCCCTTTTTTGGTATTTCCTATTTCCTATTTCCTATTTCCTGTTCCGGTGAAGCCAAAATATAGGGATAGAGATAGTCATAAGCCAACAAAACTGGAAATTGAAGGTTCTACAAATTTAGGGGTAGGAATAAATCATGATCATTCAAGGTTAGTGCACTCAACACAATAAGCCAGCAGAAGCTATAAAAGTTACAGGTACGGGAGTGACAGCTGTAAAATTATGGTTAGCGGGCGGCAACACACGACGAAGTCGGGTGTTGTCGCCAGGGCTAGCTTCAATAAAAAAGAAGGTTATAATGAGGGAATGATACCGGGCGGCAACACACGACGAAGTCGGGTGTTGTCGCCAGGGCTACCTTGAAAGAATGGTGCAATCTCAAACATGATCCTCTTTCTTCTATTTGTCTTTCTGCCGAGGTATCGCAGCTCCCGCTGACTTATTTCACCAAAAAGGAATGAAGAGGCGAGAATCATTAAAATACTGTAGTAGAAGCATCTCTTACAGCTGGGTGTAAATCAAATACAGCCTCACTAGCTAAATCATTCAATCCTGGCCTGACGTCAGTGATGCATGAAGAGCCACAGACAGGGCTTCAATGCTGCGACGCTTCGATGCTAAGATGCTGCCTCTCGATCACAGGGCAACCAACATCGTCGCACCAAACAAAAGGATCCACAACAATACCGGGCAGGGTGTTGATGAAAATATAGCGTACAGCCAGGATGAGAACGCTTTCCCTCTTGCTTCCATGTTTCTCGCTCATGATCCGGCCAACGGATTCGTTTGTCCCAAGTGGATTGGTCCCTTCAACGCCAGTTTCAAGCAGTGGATCTCCCTTGAAATTTGTCGAACGACGAAAAGGCCGACAGTTGTTCATGAGCAACAGAGAAGACAAAGATGAAGCTGCAGTGGAAGAAGAGGTTCGACTGAAAATCTTGGATAGTCGAAGAAAGCAAGTTCGTACAGCATTAAAGGCGGCAGAGTCTTTGAGAAATTTTCGACTCTCCAAGGGTGAGTGATGCGAGGACACTTTGCCAGCCAATCTTCAAATTGCCCAGATCTCTCACTTTTGACCTCTATTCTTCGCATTTGCTGTGAGAAGGTTTTGTGCCTGAACTTGATGAAAATGGAAAACCTTTACAGTCAGATGGAAAATTGGCGGTCAGTTTGACAGCTTTTGTGGTAGCAGGTGGGGCAGTGGCATTGCGGGTGGGTGGTCGCGCGGCTCTCGTCTCTGCCGTCGGACTGGATTTTGTCACGGACAATCCAGAGCTCAAACAAAACCTGGACCAAATCTTGACGTATGCCGATACCATGGATCCACTGACAAAAGGTGCAGCCTTTGTTGCTGCTTGGACTGCAGTGAAAGTTTTCTGTGTTGACTTTGCTGGTGTGGCGTTAGCTCTGGCTTCAGGAATTTTGTTCGGTGGGGTTTTGCAGGGTGCTCTGGCGTCGGCTGGAGCTGCGACCATTGGCAGTTGTGTGGCATTCAGCCTGGCCAAACTAGATACTCCCGTGAGAAAGAAATCGTTGGAGCTATTGGATGAATATCCATCCTTGCGTGGAATTGAAAAGGTAGTTGCAAGGGACGGCTTGAAGGCTATACTGACGCTGAGATTGGCTCCTGTCCTACCGATACCAATTGGTATGTACAACTATATATACGGCGTCACCAAAGTGCCAGTATTCGACTTTGCAGGAGGAATCTTTCTGGGGTCCCTGAAACCATACCTTCTAGACAGCTATCTTGGCTTCTTTGGCAAGTCAGTGGTGGATGGCTCCATTTCAGCAGAGACTTCATGGCAAGACATCATTCTACTGGTGGCGCTGGGCGTCAGTGTGTTGATTGGAGTCTTTGCATCACAATTGGCAGCAGAAACATGGGAATCTGTTTTGGAGGAAGTAGAGGCCGAAAAAGCAGAGGCAGAGGGACTTGATCCAGACGAAGTAGATGACGATGATGGCATTGTCCGTGAAGTTGCCGGTGTTCAGTTGCCACAGTGGATAGTTGGCTTTCAACTTGCATTACAGCAAGGCAGTGATCGTGTGAATGAGCTGATTCTCGATGAATTCGAGGCACAGGTATGGAATTACACAAAGGAGGAACCTCCACCAGCTGATATCGATCCTGCCTACGCAGATACCAGTCCAGAAGTTGTTGGTGCCAACAAGGGAATCGACTACGTTGGTGGGCTTTGCGACGGATTGGTTTTGACGCCAAGTCTCTTTTCAGTATTTCTGAAGTACAGCGATCCATTGTACAACGAAGAAGAAGACGAACAAATTGCAAAGAGGATTCGTCTCGACCCGTCGATATGGCTTCCACAACAATATACTTCTGATGCAGCGACGAGCGCTAGCTCCGAGCCAACGGCAACAGTACCATCCATCGTGGACGAGAAAGAACAATTATCTCAAAAGACACTTTTGTCGCGGTTAGATGATCTGGAAAGCAGAGCAAAACGAAGGCTCGACTTGGTCAACGAACGGTTAGAAGATCTGTGATAATTGTTGAAATGGAAGGAATTAAGCAGGTGCTCGGATGCAAGCAAAGCCCTCGCGCTTCCAAGACACGAGCATGTCGCATAGCAATTTAATAAGAGCCCTAGCTATGTCATAGCTACTATTAATAGACCAGTTACTGTAGTAGGTACAAAACATGGAACGATTGAATCGAATCTAATGGCACAACTAGCTAGACCTCTTTCTTGAAAGCTTCTGGTCAACAAAAATCAAAATCCTTTGCACTCTAGCTAGCCACCGGTGGCCTTCCAAGCTGATTCTTTCTGTACGGTTGAAGAGAGGCGAGGATGTTGGCATTCTCCCGGGACAAAGGACTCTCTGGTCCCTCCAAGATCAAGCTAGCTAACGGTACGGTATCATCGGTAGACGGTGATGAACGAGAGCATCACAAATAATGACAACAATGCACGATTTGGCTGGTGCACTCCAGAATGTTTAACGGCTCTGCTGCTTTAAACTGTTTTGCCACAACGCCACAACCTTCCACGGGCTTCTTTTGATTTGAGCTCTTTACTCTCTAAAAGTAGGGTAGACAATGATATTCCACACTAGAGGACTGTTTCTTCTCTTTGTCATTGCTGCACTATGTCGAGATCATGTGGCTTCGGCTGGCCTCGGGCATAAAGCCATTCCTCCTAAGATGGATCCAAAAGAGTGAGTTGAGTCGAGTCCAACGGTTTTGTCCCTTGATAAAGCGGATGTTGTCAATTCGATTCGATTCATTCATTCGACCCTTCTGTTTTCGTTTCTACCGTAGAACTCTCCCTGACATAACGCACAAGGTCTTTCTTCAAGTCGAAATTGATGGCCACGATGTAGGTCGGATTGTGCTAGGTCTCTTTGGGGATTATGCACCGAAGACGGTAGAAAATTTCCGAGCGCTCTGTGCCTGTGATAGTGGAGAGCCTGCATTATGCTACAAGGGGAGCTCCTTCCATCGAATCATCCCAGATTTCATGATTCAAGGTGGTGATATCATCCGAAATGATGGTACAGGTGGAGACAGTATTTATGGTGGAACCTTCAAGGATGAGGACATGACCAAAGTCAAATTCAATCGAAAGTTTCTCTTGGCGATGGCCAACTCCGGACCGGATACAAACGCCTCGCAGGTACGTAAGAAATCGTGTCATTTCTGTGTGTGAGAATGGCTTCCACTTGGAGCTGCTGGACTGAGATCCTTATGGCCTACTATTTACTTATCCATCATTCTGGTATAGTTTTTCGTTACAACCGTCAAATCACAGTGGTTGACTGGCAAGCATGTCATTTTTGGAAGAGTAATGGATGGCAGTGAGACTGTGGTGAAGAAAATTGAAAAGGAAGGAACCTATGGGGGAATCCCTCGTGCTGACAAAATCGTCATTACTGATTCTGGGGAAATGAAATTGGAGGCTCCCATCATTGATGATGGCAACGATCCACACCACAATAGAGACGCTCTCTACGGGCACGAGGATCCCCACAAGGAAGAGCAATAAGGATCTAAACTAACTTCCAGCCACTAGAGCTACATCGATGATGGAAATGATCCACAACACAATACATGTAGAGACGCTCTCTAAGACACAAGGTTCCCCACAAGGAAGAGCAACAATCCATCACACCGTGGTGACGCTCTCTACCGGCACCAGCAATAATGACCTAAACTAACAACCGGCCACTAGCTATCGGTAGTAACTCTACAGGAAGCAGTAAAATGACATATTTTGCCCCATGGCAGCTACCATGATGTATGTCATGATGTATCAATCATCACCTACTAGGATCCGTTGGAACAGCGACGTGACAACAATTTTGGTTATGTAAAGCTGTTTAGTTGTGCAATTTCATATCCAAACTGTACTTCTTGGTACTGTTGGTTGCTTTTGCCAACATTTTAGTCAGTGTTTCTCCATACTCAACGACCCAGGATGCCACATACTGCGGCAGTGTACAAGCCACGATCGGGTTGTTGCGTTGTTGGACCATAACAAGGAAGGAATTGATCCCACCACGAGCAGCGACACTCTTTAGATGAGGTCAGCCACATCCATGGGCATCTCAGTAATTTCAGTGGTGTAGAACTCCTCAATATCACGGAGGTAACGAACATCAGCTTCGGTCAAGAAGTTGATGGCAACACCCTTACGACCAAAACGTCCGGAACGACCGATACGATGGATGTAGTTCTCACGGTTGGTGGGAAGATCAAAGTTGATGACGAGCGACACCTGCTGGACATCAATACCGCGAGCCAACAAATCCGTTGTGATCAAGACACGAGAAGATCCAGTACGGAATTCACGCATAATGATATCACGCTCTCGCTGGTCCATGTCTCCGTGCATACAACTGACAGTAAAGTCCTTCTTCTGCATTTCCTCTTGAAGCCAATCGACCTTGCGTCGAGTGTTGCAGTAGATGATAGCCTGAGTGATGGTGAGAGTCTCGTAAAGATCACAGAGAGTATCCAACTTCCATTCTTCGTGTTCCACGGCAATGTAGAACTGCTTGATACCTTCAAGAGTCAATTCATCCTTCTTGACCAGAATACGGACAGGTTCTCGCATGAAGCGTTCAGTAACTTCCAAGACTTCCAAGGGCATGGTAGCACTGAAAAGGCAGACCTGTACTGATTCAGGCAAGAACTTGAAAATGTCGTAGATCTGATCCTTGAACCCACGACTAAGCATCTCATCGGCTTCATCCAGGAAGAATTGGCGAATGTGATCCAAACGCAAGGCCCTACGATTGATCATGTCCGAGACACGACCAGGAGTCCCCACCACAACATGGACTCCTTGCTGAAGGGTACGAATATCATCACGCACGGCGGTACCACCGACACACGCATGCACTTGGATGTCCATGTAATCCCCCAAGGCCAAGACGACCTTTTGAATCTGCTGCGCCAATTCACGGGTTGGGGCCAAGATGAGAGATTGACAGTCACGCTGTTTTGGGTCGACCTTGGCCAAGGTTCCAATCGCAAAGGTCGCCGTTTTGCCCTGTAGGATTGGATGACAAAAATGAAAACATAATCAGTATGGTGCGGATTTGTTTGTCATCACAATATTCGTCAGCTCGGCAAGCAAGGGCCAACAACACACACAAATCACCAAAAGGTCTGATTTAGAGTTTGGATTGCTTTCAGTCACATTGTGTGTTCAGACTCGAAAGATGTGTGATTAACGCATGATTCATCCTCCCTTTTGAGACTCTGTATACCCAAGCATGGTTCGAACGCAGAAGTACCTACCGTTCCAGATTGGGCTTGAGCGATCAGGTCCTTTCCCAACATTGTCGGCTTACAGGCTCGCTGTTGAATGGCAGAAGGCTTCTCGAAACCGTATGAGTAAATACCCCGAAGCAACTCATCGGGGAGCTCCATGCCGTCGAACGTCTCAATGGCTTCATCCCAGTTGGAATCAAAATCGGCATCCGTGAGGCCACTAGGGGCCTCATCTTCGTTGCCCCCCTCGCGAGGATCACTGCAGATATCACAAAAGAAACATAGATAACACTGTTAGTAAATTGCAGTTCCTTTTTCTTTGGGTTCCGTTCCGGCAGCAGTCTCCAAGGATGATGAACCAAAGACACCCTGAGGGCGCCGAAAACATCCAAGCAGAAATGACCTGCAGATACACAAATTCCCCTGAACTAGCTAGGCCATTGCCAACAAGACGATAGACGTACGCGAATCTATCACTGCTCATTTGGTATTGCTTTCAAAGTTGTGCACTAATCTAGTTATCATGCACAACTTTTTGTGTTGGTGCGTAGCGTCTCCTGTTATCTCAGTAACTGTTGTCTGTTGTTGCTGCGTGCTTCTGGTTTGGGTGGCTTTCGTGGAGCGCTGCTCTCAGAGCCAACCAAACCCTGAGCGTGTTTGGTGGCAAATTCAACCATGGTAGGATTTTTACGTACGCGTCATTTAATCTTCGAGGATGCGCGGGAGCGCGCGTTTAATAGAACAGCAATTGCTTTGTTAATGTTTCTTTTCCTCTATTCGATTACTCCATCCATTTCCTTATTCCTCGCTTCCTTGGAGGCCCCTGCGCAATGCATCGAGGACCAGACCATTTCAAGCCAATGAGGTTGCTTCAATACCAAAAAGTAAGCTGGAGAGAACCTCTCACCTGGGAAAACATCAATGCAACCATAATAGAACGCGAAATAGCCAGCATAATTCAAGACAGCAACCAAGGGAGTTTCATCAGAAGAAGGTGGCTCTAGTAACAGTTGGGGTGACATTCTGGTTTTTAAGGTATTCATCATGTAGATATTATATACCCGGTGCAATACACGGCTCTTAGCCTTATTCGCGACTCGATCCTAGATAGGGTTTGAGTTCGACTCATGACGTAGTCCCTTGCGAATAGTCATTGAGACAGGGTTCTCATGACTGCTAGTCATACTAGGTTGTCGATGAAACATCGCTCTAGATATTTAGCCGGCGTGGAAAGCTTCCACGCTACTAGACAGCTACTAGCTGAAGTTTCCACGTGTTCCGGAAATGGACTGTGGAGTACGTAGAGTTATTACCATAACCTACGATATCACACTTCGAGGCCTCCCGCGGGAGACCAACTTCAATGAGCTTCACAACGATCTCTCTCATGGATTAGTTTTCGTAGCTTTCTAATCTCTCTCATAACTTTCATTCTCTCAAACTCAAAACACTCGAAAGATCTTTACACTAGCTTTTAGCGTAGTGCATTTTGTTAACAAACACAATAGCTTTCAGCTACCCTCAACCTATTCCTTCACCATGAAGATTGCTCAAGGAAAGCATGCGTTCAGCAACTTCGAGAAATAGTTGCGTGACAAACCCATTCTTCCTCTCGTCGACAATGACGAAGACAACGAGGTCGACGACACTCGCGCAACCACCTACAAACTTTGCACCATTCCTGCAGACGCAAATAGTGCCGAGTACACTTTCAAGGTAGCCATCATCAATGGCTCCAACACTCCATGTGAGACCATCAAGTGGGCCATGAATACGGAGAAGGTCTTCGTTGGACTCAACCTTGCTAGTGCCGACGACAAACATCGTCTTCTCAAGGAAATGACTTCCAGCTCTGCAAAGAGTGCCTACGAAGCTGGGTGTGCAGGCAGTCGTGCCGTGTGTCATAACACCCTACGACAAATTGCTGTGAACGCAATTCCTCCACGCGATGTGACTTCTGGAGAAACCGAAGTCCAATTCCAAGCTTGTGTCCAAAGCTGCATGGGACGGTGCAGCAGAACCTGCTCTAAGCGATGTGGACATCACCTTTGGAATCAACGCGGTGATCGAACAAGCCTGTCCTTACAAGGCTCTCGAAAAACAGAAACGCTTCATGCGTCGTAAGATGCGCAAGCCTAGCGAGATGACAACTCGCGCCTACATCAACAACCTCACTCGGATGAATACCGATGAGCTTCCACGTTTGCCACCTTTCAGTGCCAATCAGCCAACAGTTGAACCAGGACGAATTCATTGACATCATCTGTCATGGCATTCCTCGTTCCTGGATGCGCAAGATGGACGAACACGACTTCGATCCTTTCACTGCCAAGATGCCGGCTCTCATTGGATTCTGTGAGCGTATGGAATCTGCTGAAGACTTTGACAAAGGCAGCGATGCCAAGCAAGCTACTTCGAAGAAGAACAGCAGCCAAAAGTACAAGTCTAGCCGCAACAACAACCACTCCTCCAAGAACGAAGGAAAGTGGTGTGACTACCACGAGTCCAGCACTCACGATACTGCTGACTGCATGACTCTGAAGAAACTCAAGTCCAAGTCCTCGTCTGGCAACGATAGCAAGCCAGCGTACAACAAGAACAAGACTTGGAAACGTAAGTCTGACGATGCCAAGTCCTACACCAAGAAGGAACTTTCTGTCCTTATGAAGAAAGTCTCCACTGCTGCGGTCAAGGCTGATTGCAAGAAGAAAAGCGAATGCAACCATGTTGCCAAGCGCAAGTCGGATGACTCTGATGACGAGGATAACTCCTCTGTCGGGTCCCTCAACATGATGGACAAGAAGATGGCCGCAGTCGACAAGGCTCTTGCCGACTTTGATTTCAATCAATCGGATGGAGAAATCTCCATCTGAGGATTAGGCCAGAATAATGATTCAATGGAACCATGTTCCGATTTCTCATACCTAAGTGATGAAGATATCTCACTAACTAGTAAACAAGAATTGTTTGCAACTGATGAAGTCTACGGCAAATTAGATGATTGCCTAGAAGCTGCTCAATTAGATTCTGATGATCTATTCAGCATTGTTAACCTCGTCCGTAGCCAACCACCTCGTAAACATCGCAAGACAAGAGACCTCAAACCTATCGTCTATGTTAGATTTAACAGACGAGAAAAAGGGAAACCAAAACCCGTTACACTCCACTGCTTACTGGATACAGGAGCATCCGGAACTTTGATTGCTCAAACTCATGCTAAGAAATTACGCATGAAGGATCTTGGGGGCGTCCAAACAATGTGGACTACCCCTGCAGGAGAATTAAACACCAGCACGAAGTGCAAGGGTGCCTTTATGATTCCTGAGTTCCATGATGATAGGATTATCGAATGGGATTTACACGTCACCAAGAGCTTGGGGGCGTATGACATGATCATAGGTCGAGACATTCTCTCTGATCTAGGATTTATGTTCGATTTCACTACCATGTCAGTGGAATGGGACGGCATATCTATTCCTATGAAAGATAGCGATACCAATGAAGAAGAGAACTTCTTCATTCCTGATCCTACAGCTGTCAATGACAGTGCAGATCGTCTCAAGAAGATTCTTGATGCGAAATACGAACAAGCTGACTTAAGGCTGGTATGCCAAAGTCAAGATCAGTTAAATAAGGAAGAGCAGGAACAGCTCTATGCCTTATTGACCAAGTACTCCGACCTGTTCGATGGTACTTTAGGAAAGTGGCAGATGGACGACTACGAAGTAGAACTTCTCCCTGATGCTAAACCCTATCACGCTAGGGCTTATCCTATTCCACGTGTCCATATCAACACTCTTAAGATGGAGGTTGAACGTCTCTGCGAGGCAGGAGTACTCAAGTGCAATACACGGCTCTTAGCCTTATTCGCGACTTGATCCTAGATAGGGTTTGAGTTCGACTCATGATTGAGTCTCTCATGAATAGTTATTGAGACAGGGTTCTCAATGACCGCTCTAGTCATACTAGGTTGATGATGAAACATCGCTCTAGATATTTAGCCGGCGTGGAGTACTTTCACGCTACTAGATTCATGCTAGACGAATCTTCCACGCGTTCCGTTATAGGATCGTGGAGATACGTAGGATTACTACCGCAACCTACTCTATCACACTTTATAGTCTCCCGCGGGAGACCAGATCTACGATCCTTTGATGGTGATCTCTCTCGTTGATTAGTTTTCATAGCTTTCTAATCTCTCTCATAACTTTCATTCTCTCAAACACAAAACACTCGAAAGATCTTTACACTAGTTTTTAGCGTAGTGCATTTTGTTAACAAACACAATAGCTTTCAGCTACCCTCAACCTATTCCTTCACCATGAAGATTGCTCAAGGAAAGCATGCGTTCACCAACTTCGAGAAACAGTTGCGTGACAAACCCATTCTTCCTCTCGTCGACAATGACGAAGACGCCGAGATCGACGATTCTCGTGCAACCACCTACAAACTTCGCACCATTCCTGCAAAAAAAGGAGAGAGATGTAAGACCTTTGTACTTTGGCTGACCGTTATACTTGCGGTGCTGATACTGTTGATCATCACAGTATCGTTGATTGTATTGATGAGGGACACGCGTCGCGTTTTCCTTATCATGTTTTTCTGGATGAGTCGTTGGCGACGTTCTTTGATGTGTTCCAGTTTACTTCGAAACGGACGTTGTGATTCGCGTCACGATTGAACACGTGTGGTAATGAACTTGCAGACGAAGTCCATATTCATCCCGGGAGTCTTCTCGACTTCTGCGGGAACTCACGTTCTCTATCACATGATAACCTCAGCAGGCCATGATACTGTGAGCCACGTTGTTCTAGAACGATGGCTATTCGTCTGCTGCATTGAGCAGATCTCGGCAATCTCGAACCATCGGTTACGGGATCATCATTGTCAGCAATGAATGGACAGGATTCTTTTCTTGGGATCCCGACGTTGTATGTACATGTGATCGTTTGATCCATATGTCTCGATAGTATTTCACTAGTCCAATGAATTACCAAGTTTCTTCCTGTTGTAGGAGGAGCGATATTCTGGATCGCATCTATTTTCTTGGTTACGGTTGGATTCCTTCTCAAGAATCCAGTAGCCTAGATATCAAGTTCTCTTCTTTCGAAGAAGGACTGGTAGCATTGATCTTAAGTCCGCTTCTCGAAGCCTTTAGGAGAACTTCATCTAACTATTCAACGTGATCCACTAGATCGCCAGTTAGATGAGTTGATCATAAATGTATGCACGGACATTTCCCAAGTCGTGCATGAGTGTTCCCATCTTCCTTTGGAAGTCGGGACTATTGCATAGGCCCATCGGTATCGCTGGTACTCGTATTTCCTAATCCGTCTAATTCAGTAGCATGTCTTGTATCCTTGGGATCGGACAAGGTTTTTTGCTCATCCTTTTGTTCAGTTCCGGACGTCAGAGATGAACCGTATAGATCCATCTTTTTGGGAATGATAAATGTGGTGCCGCCCATTCGGAAGGTTACCTTCT